TGCGCTCAAATTTGGTACACGGTTAGGGACCGGTTAGTAGGGTGCCGTGCACAAGTCAGTTGGGACCCATTTTGCACGTACGCACGTGCAGGGTGCCGCTTCCAGATCTCGAGAACGGCTGGGCCGATTGTGCCCAAATTCGGCACATCGCTAGAGACCAGTTAGTAGGGTGCCGTGCACAAGTCAGTTGGAGGTACCCCCTCGCAATTTCGCACGTGCAAGGCCCACCCTCTCGCTCGCTCCGTTAGTCGCCCCAAAAGGCGTTATACTGGTTTAGCCATGTTATCACTGATGCATTGCGTAATCTTCAAACTATTCTCGGTTTTGTCAAGTAAAAAGGGAAAAAATCGTGCAGTGAGACGAGTGTTGCATTTTTACCAGTCAGTTAAAGCTAAGATAATTCCGCATTATGTATTTTACTTGCTGAGGCCTGAGAGAAATGACAATTTAAAGTTTACGCCAATAAGTGCCCAGAAATAGGTACAGTAGGATCTTCGTAATTTATGGAAATTTTAGGGGAAATCGATAGGTATACATAATTACATATACATGGCCATGACTAGTGACTACGGGCCATGACTACCTACGCACACTTAATCATGCTTTCGGACAGCAGCAAAACATTTGATGGCCCCTTCGTGATTTGCGTTTTAGTCCGCTCCATCGCCGAGCTGTGAAACGCTATATCGCTCGGATCGAAACGGGAGGGGAATCCGGAGAGAGCAGAGAAAGAGGGAGAGAGAGAGAGAGAGAGAGAGAGAGAGAGAGAGAGAGAGAGAGAGAGAGAGAGAGAGAGAGAGAGAGAGAGAGAGAGAGAGAGAGAGAGAGAGAGAGAGAGAGAGAGAGAGAGAGAGAGAGAGAGAGAGAGACGCAGACCAGAAGGAGGACACAGACTTCATAAATATGTAGCGTCACTGGCCGTTAGGACCAGACTACATGGCTTCCCTGTCGACCGTGGGCCAAGATAACATGGAGGGGTTCGGTCACGTGCAGACCTGAACGTCGACGGATATGGGCAATTGGGTTAAATCTTATTAAAAGTGTCTCTGAGGAGCGCTTACAATCACGTCTTTTTTGCGTTTAGTTGCTATCGTGTTTTTATCGCGCCCTCATCGTTTTATATATTGTGTCGACTTCCTATAGCGTTTATCATCACGTTTGTTATCCATTTACCATCGCGTTTTTTTTTCGCGTTGCCGTTTACCAACGTTTAGAATCACGTTTACCTTCTTGAACCGTTTGATGGTCTATCTACCTTCAACGTTCACCGTCCTCGGATACCTGCATGGATAGTGGATACTGGATACAGCGTACATCGGGGTGCATGTCATGCTGGTAACTTAATAGCCGTTATCCTGCCAGACAGCTGCATATTATTTGCACACAGATTGCATTCTTTGTAACGGTGCCGTGATGCCTTTGCTCATGCGGTTATAAACAGTTGGTGCTCGTTATAATAACACGAGAAGTGATACATCAGAACTAAAATAATAACTTTCCTGTTCTGCAAGGGCCAAGCGAACTCAAATTCATTTGGTAAGTTCTTTCCAGCATGTCCATTGTTTGCCTCCTAATAGTGAATAAGCATTGGTAGCTTATATCACTCTGTATACCTACCTATTATATCGAACAGAGAACGATTTATGACCCCCATCATTGTAGCGATCAACTCTTGTCTCCATTGGAGCGTTTAACCCGCGCCCTGCTGGGGGGGGGGGGTGTTTGAACACCCCCCTTGTGGTTTTTCGCGAATATCTCAAAAACGGCGGCGCGGAGCGCCGCCGTTTTTGGTACACCTTATCATACATCAATTCTACACATGTTGTGAAAATTTCAGACCAAGGTCATTCAAGGTCAGGTCACCAGGTCTCTTGAAGTGACCTCACCTCATAAAAACTTTCAATGTCTGTCATAGCTACACCGAGTGACCGATCGCTTTGAAACTTTCAGCGATTGCTAAGAGCAATAGCATGTACAAAATGTATATCTCAGAATTTTGATATCGATGACCTAAGGTCAGGTCAATTTTGCGACCTCCCCATTATAAGTCAATGGGAGAAAATTGAAATGCGCCTCTTTTGGATGAAAGACATTATAAACACTCCCAAACACCGAATTACAAGTGGTTTAGACACACTGAACTTGAAAATGGTGTCTGTGACCCTTGTTTATGCCCTGAGGTCATCTTAGGTCACGAATGGTATCTAACAGTTTTTCGCAAATAACTTTTGATAGAGGCATGCTAGAGCGATGAAAACGCCTTAGATGTGTTCAGCTCGACGATACGGATCGACTGATATGCAACATGACCCTTTCCGGTCAGGTCATGACCTTGACCTGAGGTCAAATTTTCAAGTTGACCTTTCAAGGTCAAGTTATAGTTCAATCGATGCGTCTTGACGAGAGGAACACGATGCCGGTAAAAGTAAGCTCGTACAAGGCTTGGGTCAAAAGTTATTGCAGAAAAACTGTTTTCAAAAATACCGGCTATTTTTGCAGTTTTTGCCCCCTGCAGGCAAAACCGTTGACGTTAGGTCAAATCTGAGAGAATTATTCAGAAAGGGCGTTAATAGGGCTATCGAATGCGCTTTTCCGCGGCGCTGTAGCTCTATTGGTTCCCGAGTTATGCGTTGGCTTCTTGGAAATTTTCGACATTCGACCTGGAAATCGGCGAAATTTTGCTTTCAATGACCTCTGGTGACCTGACCTTTGACCTGACCAAAAAATTGACTGAAATGATTTCGTCATTATTTTTTACGCTCTTTCGAACGCCGCCTTCCGCGTGTCGCTACGTGGCCCAGGAGCCGAGTTACAAGGGGGGGTGTTCAAACACCCCCCCCAGCAGGGCGTGGAAATCCAGGACCCCCAGCAGGGCGCGGGTTAACTCCTTCACTACATGTTTTATTCGGCCTATAATCCCTGGAACAGAAGAATGTTGACTTGTGCGGACCCGGCGGTCCGTGGAAGACTGTACGTTTATGCAACTGTGCTCGAACTATCCAGAACTATCTTTAGGACGATGATTCTTTGATAAAAAAAAAATAAACGCTTTACGTACCGGTGCCTTAGAATGGCCAGCCATCCAGATCCTCGAATAATTAGGTAACGTTTGGTTCGGACGACATAAATTACACAAGACCCGTTTCTATTTAATTGAAGGACTTTTTTCTGTCAAATAGCGCTCATTATAGTAACGCTCAGCTAACCGGGTTATAGGAAAAGGGCAGAGCGCTTAAACGGATTAGCCTAACCCGTTATAACGCTCTTCTCTTTCCACGTTAGAGTGCTCAATTATTGTCCCCATATAATGCGTAGCTCTTGTCCTAGTTACCTATAATGTTCAACAACTACTGTCCCCATTACAACGCTCATCTTTTGTCCTCGTTACTTAAATTAATGGTCAACAGCTCATACTTCGTCCCCATTATAACGCTCATTACAACGCTGCAGTTCAAGTTTCGTCCCTGTTCTCGAATAGCTCAGACCGGCACAGGTGTCGGCGCCTGTTGGTCTCACCTTGGCCTTGACCACAGAGCTGTCGGCTGGCACCAGAGTCCAGTGGAGTTCAACGACCGGAGCCAAACCGCTGCGACAGAGATACCACATTGGACGTCAGTTGCCTCTTGGCAACAGAATGCGCCGTCATCTTTTGCAACATTGTTGGCATCTTTATTGTTATTTGTTTCAGGGCCTCCGTGCACGGTGAAGGAGATCGGCACGGAACAGTGCCGTGCCAGCTCTGACATTACTCGCAGATTAGCTAGCTATGTAGCTATGTGCCTTAGGATCTATTTTTGCAACCGAGCAAAACGCATTATCTGATCATCTGATGACTACTTTTAACGAACCACGTTTATCTACACTTTCGTCATCCGTCCTCACCATCCTCGGACAAATGATCCCCTCACGCCCTCTTTCCGGGCTGGCGGTTACCCTCACGGCCCACCTGACCGTAACGAATATTGGCGTACATGCGTACTTTGTCCTAACCTAAGCACTTTTGCAATGTGTGCCTTTGTCCGCGAAAAAATGTACCTACATACAAGCGTATGTTGCTCAATGCTCATTCATGATGTTGGAATAAGAAGAACAAGCCCGCTCAGAAATTTGCTAGCGTCACCTTTCTCCCGAGCATTACAATAATGCATACAAAACATTACAAAGTGAAGCTCTTAGCGTCATCTGTGACTGTAACTATAATTCCGTTCGTGAATAGATGTCGCCCTGTCTCAGATTGGTTGAAGACCTTCGCAAGCAAGACTGAATGCAAGGCCGACTGAATGGAGGGCTTGGTTGAAGGAGCGCATTGTTGACGCTGATGTGCATAGCATAATGGAGATGCAAGGCGCTCTTATGTGAATGTTTCTTCAATTTCGCATACATTCTGTAAAAAAATAAAAAGATGGAAATATCCCTTATATCCCACAACCCACTCCCGAACCGTTTCATACAAGGCCTCTGAAAAAAATGAAGTGGACCCGCGGGATTAGCATGCGCGAAACGTTGGAATCTTGCACCCGCACCCCTCCCCTCCCCTCTCCCGTGGGATGACCGACTAACGGAACCCGTGTGACCGGTCCGTACCCGTCCCGAGGTCATTGACGCTCCACTGGGGGTATCTGGCGCAGCTGCGACAAAAAGCGGTGCATTTGTGTTTGATAGCATGTTTATTTTTCGAAGCATAGCATTGAATGTTTTCTGCTTTTGTTCATGCAACTCAAACTTTTTGAAGGCCACCGTTGCTTACGTTGGTAAAGTGAAGGGAAATATTTTAGGCCGCGTATCCTTGAAAGGCTGAGGGGCTTGAGGGGCCCATTTATCAAATTAAAAGGTGAGTAGGTGATGGTCAAAGCAGTTGTCTTTATGTCGGGATCAAACAGGCTTGCGTTGATATCTTTATTGTTATGCAGATCTGATGCGATTGTGTTACCACTAACCACAGTTCTAGTTCGATTTAGAGACTTCGAGTTGATGCTGTTTCGTTTTTGTTTTTCAGGCTGGTGGTGGTCGATGTCTTTTACTGATGAAATATTGAAGGTAAATTGAGGGGACATTGGACAAGTATTTTAAGGTAAGTAATATGAATCTAGTATTTGTTGTCAGTTATAGTCTACTGCTTAGTCAAGCAGTGACAGTGACAGTTGTGTTCGACGAAGTTGTGTCCCATGACTGGATGCTGTGTACCGATTTGATAATGCTGCTATTTGCATCACTACACTCTTTGCGACTTATCCATTTGACGCTGGTGGGCTCACTTTCCCAATTGGATGTTTTCTCATCCCAGACAAGAAACATCCATATGCTACGCCAGATGCCCGTGTGGCCCCCATGCACCAAAATTTAGCACAAGCAATTTTGTGCTGAAACTTCTGCATGATTTGTGCCTTAAATTGTGTGCTTATTTGTGTCAACATTAAGCCACTTTTATAAATAGCACTGAGCACATGTGCACATCTACTGACCAAGGCTCCAAGTATCAGCCAGACAGAGCACTTCAGAGCCTTGAATGCTCTCCCATGTTTGAGCATCCAAATAAGTTTTTTTTATTTCCACGGAAACCCAATAGGTACCACAATACGCTTAGCGGACTGTAGCGTCGTGCCATGAAACGAGGCCCTTGCCGGAAATTCTGAGGCAAAAAACATTGCCGGAGCACTGAGCGGTGTGTTTGTAGCTGGAGGGCTTCAATTGACCCCTCCCCTCCTGACCCCTCCTTCAATTAAAAGCAGAACAAGGGAACCCGACCAGGTAAGAAGACCAGGTAAGAAGGGCGCCAGCAAGGGCCAGAGCAGCACTTGCCCCGGCACATCAGATCAGCCTTATCTCGGCTCACGGTGCAGAGCGCAGCAGGACACTGCTTGTCTGGGCACTGCTGGCACGCTCCCAGTGACCCGGGCCCCGCCCTTAACTGGTGCACGGAAACGGTGTCCTCTCGGTCCTCCCCGGGGACAGGGAGCGCCGGCGTTCTCCCAATGAGTGGCTTGAATACCAGTGGTTCAGACCATTGGTCGCGCCATTGACGCGAGGGCTGGGGCCGCATAATGAACCGTCCGGGTCAGTGAGCGGGCGTCGGAGCGCAGGGCGGCCGCTTGTTTCGCCAGGTCGTCCGCGCTCTCATTCCGCTCGGCACCGCAGTGGGCACTACCGCAGTGGGCAGGAGCCCACTGCAGTATTACTTCATGACGCTCTGCAATGTTGAATCAGGTCTTCCATACCCAGGGTGGAGGCCTCACCTGGACGGCCGCTCCTCCGCTGAGTATCCTCAGGGCGGCTCGCCAGTTCGAGCACACGACCAGGACGGGGACATCTCGTCCCGAACCCTCTCGAAATCTGCTGCTAGATTGACCAGTGTGCCGACTAAATTATGTGACCGCATTCGCCAAAAAAATCCGTAGCCGCCCTGCACCGAAAAATTCAGCTGCCGCCATGCGCTGAATTCGGCGCATGCAAAGTTATCCCGGACATGCGCTGAAATTTTCGGCACCATCTTGACACTACGCCGGACATGTTCGGCAATCGGCGTAACGTATATTTTTTCCAGTCGGGTTCTCATTAGTGATGTCAAATACGGAAAATCGGAATACCGATACCATACCAAATACCAACCAAAACCGTGGAGAAATACCGAAACCAAACCAACTTGGGAACATGAGGAAAATACCAACTTTTTACCGATTTCTTAGCCTCTCAAACATTAGCGAGGGTTCATGATACCAACAAAATACCAAACAAATTAGGATTCAAATACCAAATGCCGAGTTGGTATCGGTTTGGTATCGGTGTACCAAAAAGTTGGTATCCGATTGACATCTCTAGTTCTCATCCACCCGGCAAGCTCTTTCTATGCAGGTCCCCTCCCTACTCCCTGTTCCTCTATTCTTTTGGCTACTCTCAAGTCTCAGGCCAAAGGAACCCCAAACAGGTGAATAAATACCTAGGGGAGTTAAACAGTAGGTCATGATTAACGACTCACAACTGCAATCACAAAAATATTTGCCTTGGAATGTTTTCCACCGTTGTTTTAATATTTTAACTGTATTGTGTCTGCCTCCTTGAGATTTGGCTACATTTAAGCACTCGTTGTTAGTTTTTTTCACTGGTCCTTCCAATTACTTTATGATGACTTATGTTGTATTTGCAGAATGTTTATACAGAAGGCACTTTTGGTCATATGCTGCCATATGGCAGCAGTAAGTGCCAATGAACCACCTAGCTTTGAGGCCAACATGGATTACCATGTGATTTCGGAAAACACTCCTATCGGAAAGGAAGTCTACACCCTAAAAGGTGAGTGGCTACAACTTACTGACCTTGCCAGGTATGGTATGAAATATCAATTAGGTAGGTAAGTACCACCCTTTTCTTAGATCATTGAGTTCCACTTTGTTCTGCTAAGTGCTTCATCCAATATTCACCACTCAGCTCTTAAGTGTGATGATTCGTCAGTTTGGTCGATATTTGACACTGTTTTGTCGGCTATTTTGAATTTCTGCTGTGTTGTTGCCATCGGCATCATTACCTATTGTGTCTATCTTTTTTCCTTAATTGTATATTCTCCCATGCATTGTGTGATACCTACCTGTTCATTGTTTTGTACCTACTAAATTTTCTGCTGTTTCTTTGTTGTGACCTTCTCCATACTGTCTTGTCCGAACCTTCTTCGCTATTTCATTGGATATCCTCCAACCTAGATCACCTAACCGCACCCCTATCGTGACCCCAGGAGTGGACCCAGAGGGCTCACCCCTTCTGTACGGCCTGGAGGGCACCGACGTACTCCAGGTCAACCCGCGCTCCGGCGTGGTGTCGGTGCAGAAACGAATCGACCACGAGGTGAGAGAGGATGCTCATTAGTCAGCGTGTGAGATGTGGGAAGGGTAGAATGTTACGATGTTAAAAAAAATTGAGCATAAGCGTTGCTTCTTTCAGCATCATTACTATTTCAAGTACACCCACAATCACCATGCCTGAGATAATCTTTCATTATCATACATGAAGTAGGTAGTTAGAATATTATGAATAGAATGCTGTTTGAAAAAAATTAATGTGAAATGCATTGATTTTCTTACCTTACATCCAATAAAATAATAGAGCTGGACATTAAGCTTTGTTCGCATGTGTTTGAATGAACTCATCTCAGCTTACCAGTCTACCTTGGTTCAGATGTTCTTATTTATATCCCCGCGCCATTTCTCAATTACTTCACACCCCACTCTTACATACACTCCCTTACCATCCACCCTCGTTTCCGTCCACAGACGACCACCCAGCTGAAGCTCCAGGTGACCCTGGAGGACCGTGTGGAGGGCGGTGACAACAACAAGGTCTCCGTGCCCATCACCGTCATCGTTGTCGACGAAAACGACAACGAGCCCGTGTTTAAAAAGGTGAGCGAAGTGATCGGATAATAGTGAAGAGTGGTTGCAGCAGTGCTTGTAGACGTCCTGCTTGAGATTAGAAAAGGGACTTGTTTCCAGCTGCGGCAGAGTAGCTGGGGTAAGGTTAAATCGCATCTGCAGAACTAAGGCTTCAACCCTAACGTCTTACGGTTGAAGTGTTGAGATCTCATTATGACGATCCATGATTTCTGGCCTGTAACTGCTGTCTTGAATTCAAACCCCTACCTTGACGTCTGCCCCTGCCATGATCCCTCTAGCCCCTGATCTGACCTCTGACCCCTACCTCGACCTCTGACCCCTGCCCAACCTCGCTAACTGACCCATCTGACCATGTCTCTTATGTGCCTTGCCATGATCCCTCTTAACCGCTGCTATAATCTCTAACTCCAGCCCTGACCTCTTTGACCCCTGACCTGCCCCCAGGCACTGTACGAGGCCGAACTACGCGAGGATGCTCCGGTCGGGAGCACGGTCATCAAGAAGATCGAGGTCACTGACCCTGACCTGGTCGGAGAGAACCTGAACGTCACCTGCGACCCGAAAAGCTCGGTATGTTGGAGACAAAGCTGACGGGGTGTGAAATATCGTGTAGATTGTTGAGTTTTATTGTTCTCCAGATTGTTGAGTTTTATTGTCCTGTGTTTGCTGTGTCGATGAGCTGTCGGTGTGAAGCTGTACTCTTTTTCAATTGGTTACTTCTAGAGATACTTTTGATTTAAATTGTAATAGTTCCATCACATGGTTCCATCACATCGAGACTAGACATTCAAGACGACAAGAAACCTGCCGGGCCTGTAACCCATACTGTTAACTCATTGAAAGTGTTTTATGCCAACATCGACAATTCTATTATGAGTAAATACGACGCGATGCTGGCACTCACTGCACTTGAGAGCTATGATATTCTTGCATTAACAGAAATGAAACCTAAAGTTGGGTTGATGCCTGAACACCCTGTAATGGAACTGCCCGACTACGAATTATTTACTAGCAACTTTTCAGCCGGAGCTACTAGGGGCACGGGAATTTATGTAAAAAAGAATCTGATGGCCAAACAAGTTTATCCCGCGGGAGACTGCAACTTTCAGGATTGCACCTGGATTACGGTTAATGCCCGGGGTGGAGCAAGTATGCTTGTTGGGGTGATCTACAGAAGCGGGTCACCAAGTAAAGCTATTCCTCAAGATCCTGATCTTCACAAAATGCTTGGCTGGGCAGCATCCACAAATCATTCGCACAAGGTTATAGTCGGTGACTTTAACCACCCAGAAATATTTTGGACCCCGGACCCAGAAGTTCCAGAAGGTGTCAGCCAGAACAGCCCAGCTCGTAAGTTTATCGAATGTATACGCGATACCTACTTTCTACAGCATATAACAGAGCCAACAAGATACAGAGATGGACAGCGCTCTACTCTCGATGACCTACTCTTTACAAATGAGCGAGACTTGGTGGAACAACTGACAATTGGAGACCCGGTTGGAGCAAGCGATCATGCCAGTGTCTCATTTGCTATATCGTTTGTCCCTTACGTTCCAGTAAGAAAGAGTGCGGTACTGAATTACCACAAAGCCAACTATGAAGAAATGAGGAAAGCACTGGACGTTGACTGGCGAGGACTATTTGAAGGCAAATCTGTGCATGAGATGGCAGATACGCTTGAACAAACGATCACGGATTTAATGGATAGGTACGTGCCCAAGCTGGACACCAACAAGAAAGCGAAAAGAGGAAATCCCCTGTGGATGAATCGGAGTGCTCTTAGAATGGTGAAGAAAAAACATCACGCTTGGGTTCGTTTTCTGAACACCAAGGACAGTAATGATTACGAAAGTTATGTCAAGGCAAGAAATGAAGCTACCCACGCGACCAGGAAAGCAAGGCGGGAATTCGAGTCGAAGCTGGCTAAAGAAGTCAAAGGAAATCACAAAGTGTTTTGGAACTACGTCAACCGTCGCAGGAAATCAAAATGTGGTATCTCGGACTTGCGTAGTGCTAATGGTGAACCGGCAACTAACGACAAGCACAAGGCTGATATATTGAATCATCAGTACGCAAGCGTTTTCACAAAGGAAGACAAGTCATCGATCCCAACGCTAGCTCCAAAGCCTTTGGAGGCAGAGATGCAAATTGCGATAACTGTTCAGCGAGTCCATGCCAAGCTGAAAACACTGAAGATTGATAAATCGCCAGGCCCCGACAACATGCACCCTCGTGTTTTGCACGAACTTGCTGACCAACTTGCGACACCCATCACATCTCTGTTCTGTAAAAGTATTGAAACTGGAGAAGTTCCACGGCAATGGAAGGTGGCCACCGTCACGCCAATCTTTAAAAAAGGCGACAAAAGTGATCCCGCGAACTACCGACCAGTGTCACTGACATCAATATTATGCAAGATTCTGGAGAGGATCATATGCGAGGACATCATCGCTCATCTGAAGACAAACAATCTTATCGCTCGCCAACAACATGGTTTCATCACAGGGAAATCTACAGTCACAAACCTACTGGAAGCTCTTGATATTTGGACGGAAGCGCTAAGCCACAGCTTACCAGTGGATGTTGTGTTTCTGGACTATGCCAAAGCGTTCGACACTGTGCCCCATGAACGGCTTCTAGCCCAGGTCCAGGCTCTAGGGGTGAATGCAAAGACTCATCAGTGGATAAGGAGTTTTCTAACAGGCAGGCGGCAAAGAGTGAACGTCAATGGATCACTCTCAGACTGGGAGTATGTAACAAGTGGAGTGCCGCAAGGCTCAGTGCTCGGGCCTCTCTTGTTTTCCATGTTTGTCTGTGATGTTCCCGACCTCTTAAATTGTCACATCTCTATGTTTGCGGACGATACCAAGGTCTACCAAGTCATCAACGAGCGCGATGGTGAACTTCACAATCTGCAAGAGGACATCAACTCTTTGCAAGATTGGGCAAAAACAATGCAGATGATCTTTCATCCACTCAAGTGCAAGGTCATGCATCTAGGACCAACAAATCCTGGAAGTGAGTATACCATGACAACTATGGGTGGAGGCAAACATACCCTTGAAGCAGTCTGTGAGGAAAAGGACCTGGGAGTCACTATAGACATGAAGCTATCCTTCTCAAAACATGTCACTAACCAGATTAACAAGGCCAATAGAATTCTTGGTGCAATCAAGCATACCTTTGCAAAAATTGACAGCGACATTTTCAAAGCCTTGTACAAAAGCATTGTCAGGCCCCACCTCGAGTATGCAACTGTTATATGGAGTCCCAAGTTCAAAAAGGACAAAGATGCACTCGAACAGGTGCAGCGGCGGGCAACAAGGCTGGTGAACGGACTGTCTCACCTTTCATATTCAGATCGCCTCAGGAGCCTTAATTTACCTACTCTGGAATTCCGACGGAAACGGTCGGACATCATCGAGACCTTCAAAATTTTGAAAGGCTTCGACAAGGTGGACTTCCAAAGAGAGTGCCCGTGTTGTCACAACAGCATGTTCAAGAACTCTCTCAGCCGTGTCACCCGAGGTCACGATCAAAAACTTCAAGTCCAGCATCAATTGGGACCCAGAAAAGCCTTCTTTGCGGCACGAGTAACTCAGACATGGAACAAGCTGTCAACCCACACCATCGATGCTCCAAATGTCGATGTGTTCAAGTACAGACTGGGGAAGGAATGGAAGGACCACCCTGAAAAGTTCAACTACAAGTTCTCATACTAATGATCATCGTGGCCATCAATGTATGGCCTCACCTAGCATGGCAGCCTACTCGTCTTCGTCAGAAGAAGAGGAGGCATCTCTTGAGTAAAGGGTCTGATTACTCGAAAGGGTACCTAATGACCTTTACTTGAGGTAATAGCTGTAATAAGAGGATTGCGTCAAATTACCGTATGTACTTGTGTGTGCGTGAGTTTAACGATACAGGCCAGCGTGGTAAATATGTAGTTGTTTACCGTTATAAGAACATGCAAGTGAATTTTATTATACCATAGTGATAAATGTTCATAATATTGAGATCACCCTTTCGGCTTACAAATCACGCATACACTTACCAAATGACGAACTCTTGCCGTACTTACTTCTTACTGCACGAACTTTCTGCATACATATCCAAACGCCACACGTTTTAACCCACCCACCTAACCACGACTCGTGCCGTGTCCGTTCCGTGTACCGCCAGTCGGAGGGCGCCTGTGAGCTGCTGACAGTGATGGCCCTGGAGAGTACCTCTCAGCTGTACGTGGGCTCGCTGGTGCTACAACGGCCGCTGGTACTCTCACCGACCGGAGACCCCAGGATCAGTGTGGCGCTGCTCGCGTCGGTATGTATTTATCTCAAGTATTTACCGTAAGTGAAGGTCATTAGGTACTCTTTCGAGGGGGTATGTGAGGAGAGGGAAGGAGGGAAGGTTTCATTGTCATGATTGGGACTTGTGGAGATGATGTGTTTGGTTATGTTGACGAGGGAGGCACATGTTTGTGTCATTGTTTTGTTTTTGTTAACGTGTAGGGAAAGGAAGTGTCAAGAAGCATACATGAGTACGTGGTTTGTGATTTAGCATAGTCTCTAGGAAATCCAGCTTTACCATCGACCCAGTTGTTTTACCCAGCTTGTCGTTGGACATATTTCCACCCACGTGCGATTCGTTCATTCACTGACCCCCCCTCCCCCCCCCCCACAGGACGGCCGTTTCACCGCCGCCGGCCGTGCTCTGATCGGCGTTCAGGACGTGCAGAACTCGCCACCGTCGTTCTCGGGTAGTCGTACGGCCGTTGTGGACGAGGGAGCCGCCATCGGTACGGTCGTACTGACCGTGGCGGCGGCGGATGGAGACAGCGGGGCGGCACGACCTGTCGTCTTCGAGATGGTGGAAAGTGAGACAGGGGAGAGGGGTAGGGAGGGAGGGAGGGAATAGAGGAAGGTGTGACACGTAATCCTCAAAATGGATATTGGGTAGTTCAGAATTAGAGATGGAAAGGAACGAGCGAGGGAGAGAGAAGCCTGGACAGGCGGAGAGGGTAGCAGGATGAATTGGGATGACATAAAGGCTAGATGGAGGTGTGATTTTACTGCTCATAGTTGTTGGTTTCCTTGCCTAGTCTGCCTGCTGGGAACTGCTGAAGCTGAGATGTATCTGCAGTATGCACTTCGACTAACGGACTTCAGTAATCTTGCCGCATGGTATTTCGTAAAGATGCTCGTGCTCGCACACCTACCCCCATCCATCACAAAGCCTTCCTACCATTCACACCTCATTTTCTCGCCCTGGCAGACCCTGGCGAGTTTTTCTCGCTGGACGAGGAGACGGGCGTGCTGAGCACGGCCAAAAAACTGGACCGAGAGTCGGATCTGGTGCGCGGCGGCGCCATTCATCTCACAGTCAAGGTGAGTCGGTGGATTCTGTGCCAGTCTAGGAAAGTTGAAACCACCGGTAGTGTCAATTGATGAGGTTTATAATGGCCTAGAGCTGCTGCTGCTATAGTAAGTGCGTATTTAGTTATTATGGGCTAATGATGATGATGATGACATGTTTTGTCAAATGCTTTGGCTTTTCTTGTGTTTGTAGCAGGTCCGAAATTGTACCCATTTTGTTGCCTTTTGTGAAAAGTTGCCATGACATTCATTGATAATGAACGAATTTGACAATCAATAATGTATTTTAAGATATGCACATTGCTGCTATTTAAAAAGTTTTTTATTTTTTCCACATTTAATTTACTGAACTCGATCCGAACCTTAAATACTCAATACTCATGGCTCTGTTATGACCTCCCTCTCTCCCCAGGCTGTGGAGATGGAGTCGGGCCACCGACTGCGGGGACCTCTGATCCCCCACCCCCCCCTC